CTGTTTTAAATAATTCGGCTTTTTTTGTGCCTGTTCTTTCACGGCTTTCTTTTTTAAATTCTTATAACAGTCCAATAACTGTTTGGTTTTTCTAAGGGTGACACCCGGGATACCATTGAATTCCTTTGTTAGTTCTTCCCATGTGCCTCTCTTCTGTTTGGAAGAAATCGCATTTGTTTTCTTGTTTTCAATGATCGATTTATATTTTTCGACTAATTCAAGTAGAATTTCCTTCTCAAAATTAGAAAAATTACGGCGTGCACTGCTTTCCATTTCACTTTCCGCCATTTTCTACACGTGTTTCTATTCTATTCTATTCGTCTCCTCCCTGGTTCATACACGTGTTTGCTTTCAACCAATCAAAACTCTGCTTACGAAAGAAGACTTGTTTAATCTCGAACGCAGGATTGTTTTAAAATATTAACTCTAGAGTAGCGAAACTCTAGAGTTAAATTTTTATCTGAATACGAAAGAAGAGTAACTCGTAATCTGACTTCGAGTTACATCTAAACTCGAGTTCGTCAGCTCTCTGTTTAACTCGTGTTGGTGAATACGGGGGTATGTCAGTCAGTCACCTTTGAGTTATATATATTTAGATACAGAACTGGAAATGGTTATTTGTGGTTTAGCCTAGTGAGAAAAATAAATTCAGAGACAAGTAAATTCGATTTACGTCACCTCTCCTGTGATCAATTAATGATGTAAGGCAAGGTATACCTGTATTAGTGTTTTTTGTTCATTATTTATTTATTGTTTTATTTATAAAGTTCATTAGCCAAGTTATAATCTGATAATTAATCCAGTTAGAAGATTTGATTATTTCTATAATTTGGGCTTAGTTTCACATACATGTGCCTTGCGCTGTGATAAAATTTTAAGTCTGCTGAATGCCATAGAAGACCTTAGGTGCATAGTCATTCCTGTAGGTATGGTGAATGACCTGTAAGATTATATCTTGTTAATTGAATGGTTTAGAGTCAAGAATCCATTGGATATTTCACTCTAAACCATTGATTCTAAAAAGTTTGGTCTCTATGAAGATAAGATGGTCAAGTGTAGTTCTTTTGCTAAAGTGAGAATATCAAGCATATCCTAGAGTCCAGATCATTTAGACACTAATTTCCTTTTGTTTATTTAAATGAGGGATGGTGGAGGTTGCAGTAGCCAGTGCTGCAATAGTTTGATTAGGAAGTTGTGTAGTATAATGATCTTAGAATATTGTCAGTTGGATGTTTTCTGCTTGTGAGACATTCCCAAGCTAGTGCTGCTAATGCCCTTCCTTTCTTCAGATCTTTGTGTTTTTCGATTCTAGTTTCAAGAGTGTGGTACATATTTCCAATATAAAAACCAACTACAGTAGAGCATTGATTATCCGAATACCAATCAACTGAAACATCGGTTAACCGAAAGTTCCAGTCGGTTAATTGGTTCCAGTCAGCAAATTCAAATTTCTGCTAGTGCTGTGGCACTGCAATATTTGGCTATATCTTGGGCTACTCAATATTATTTTTGCTGGTGTGCGTGTTTTAGCTAGCAGCACTGGCATGACCATGTACCAAGGATTTAGGATTAAGGATGCACCAGTATTTGAGCGAGGCTTTTTTCCCATTATGGGTGGTGAGTTTTGCTTAAAATAGAACAAAAACAGAGAATTTGAAAGATGCGCGCTCGATGCCGACACGAATGAGCAATAGAATATTTTGCGAGAATGCGGAGCTAGCGACGTTGTTTTAATCTGTTGTATAAGTTGACCCACAATAAAGGCACATCCAGCGTGGGGGTGTTGCATGGATTTAGCACGCTGGTAAATAGTGCCTCCCATATATACAAGAGGTTCCTACTATCACACTGTTTGAGTATCCGCGCTTGGTCCCACATCGGAGTGTATTGGTGTTGCAACACCAATCTTGCCAACTCTGTGTTGCACCTACCCGTACTAATAGATTGTTTGTGTTCAGAGATGCGGCAAGACAACATTCTGGATGTCGCTTCGATATACTGGGTATGAGTACCAGATGTTGTACTTTCTAATGGGATGGAATACACTCCCGACCGCTCTAGCACAGAAAAAGGATCCCTGTCATTGCATAACATTCTTCTAAGATTTGGCCACGACGACACTGGCAGGAAAAGCGCATGCTGTTTAAAAATACGGCAAATGCGGCCAGTAATATGGCCACAGAATGGTAATGGGGGCTGGATTATCATACATTCTTCTGAGGCCTGCAAAGTCGTGTCAGGAAATAGAGAACCTTTAACCTTTCTAAGGATGTACCTGTACTTAGATCTAGCGTAACCCACCGCACTTACCGCTGCACTTATAGCTTCAAGCTTGATGTCAACAACAGCTTAATTGGACGACAACAAAAAGGCCCTTCTAATTCAAGGTGTGATAGCTACGTTGACGTAGTGCCGCGGTTGGTACGCGGTGGCAGGGATTAAAGGAGGTATGCTGTTGAACTTATGGAACACAGAGAACTCTATCGCACCCTGGGCTTTGGTATGTTTAGATCTAAAAACGCAATTTCACCTCCCTTTTCCTTTTCCCGGGTAAACTTGATGGTAGAATAAACCTCCATAAGATAACTTTTGAGAATGTGGAATTCCTCTTCCATGTGTTGCCAGGCTACTAAGATATCTTCCACGTATCTAAGATATAATAGCGGGTATGCTATGGTGATAGGGAAGGTAAACACTCTTTGCTCCACACACCTCATGAGTAGTTCCACTAAGATAGCAGAGAGGAGAGCCCATAGGTACCCCTTGTTTCTGTAAATAAACTTTTCCGTTGAACCGAAAGTAATTATTTTCCGTGATATAAATCAAGGCCTCTCATATTTCTAGGATTTGCTGCGCCGTAAAACCCTCCTTAACAAGCGTAGCATTGGTGAGCATAACTGCCTCAAACTGTGGTACCGAGGGGTAGAGTGCTAATAAAATAAAATAATGTCCTTTTTCTCATACACTCTGGGCTATTGTTAATAACAATAGTAGCAAATATTAATAATAAAAGTAATAAAAGAAATGATAATTATAATCATATTATTATTATCTTGTAAATCAGAAATCTCATCTACTGGTCTCTTATCGTATGCATTGATGAACATAATATAATTACTAAAATTGTTTAGTGTTGCCAAAGATGAAAAGAGATGTTTAAAAATTGTTTTGGTTTTTGAAATTTCAAATTTATGATGAAAATAACATTGCTGTCTTTGTCATAAATCTACAAAAATTGAGATTTATCTGAAAATTTGTGTAATATATTGGTATGAGCCAAAAGTTGAATTCACCAATATTTTCAGGGAAACATAAGAACAGTTAAAAGTAATTGCCATTGTCCTTTAGACAACTGTCCCACCTCACGATTGTTTAATATCATCATTGTGGAAGAAAGTCTTTAGTTGTTCTTGAAACAATTTCTTGACAATGTGTATCAAATGATTGTCCAATGTGAAGTAACTTCTTTTAAATGTTTTATTTAGAGGTTCAAAGATATGGTGGTCACAGGGTGACAAATTTGTGAAATAAGATGGGTACTTTAGTCTTCAGAATCTTGCACATCAATTTTTTTGAATGCTGTCATCTATTTTCTTCACCATGTCAGCTATTAACACTACTCAGAGCTTGAATGTGCTTGGTTGGTGATTTATTCACAATATTTTCTGAACACTAAATACCTTCTTGCTTCACAATAAGCAGGGTCTACTGTACACTGCTGACATCCGTCTAATGCAGTGCTTCTCAAACTTTTTGGATTATTGTACCCTTGGTTGTGACTGTTAGTAGTAATGCCCCTATTCTGTGTATGCAGAATAGAGATAGGGGGTGATATCGCCTCTTTAAGAAACACTGATCTAATGGATTTTAGCTGCTTCATAATCCTCTGCAACAAGAAACTGAATCACAATTAATTGATCAGTTTTGGATAGATTTGTTACTATAATAGCCTTAGTTTCCTTTTGGTGCATTGATTATCCACATGTCTGATCAAGATACTGTTTGGAAATGTAAACCACAAAAATAGACTGCTTCAGCTACAGTGCATGGGCAATAACTTGACTTTCTGATCCTTAAAACTTTTGGCTCATGCCAGATTACTTTGGTATTTTGAACTTTTGAAAAAGTAAAATTTTGAATTTAAATTGAAAAGCCACTATTATTATTAAATATTTTTGTTTTGTCATTATTTTAGTTGAAGAACGTGTTATTAATGAAGAGTATAGAATATGGAAAAAGAATACGCCATTTCTTTATGATTTGGTAATGACACATGCATTAGAATGGCCAAGTTTGACAACACAATGGCTTCCTGATGTGACAAAGTATGTAGATTTTTATTTTGTATTTAAAAGTTTTATTGCTATTTGCTTTTTATCTAGTTGAATTTGTTGATATCTTTATTGGATACTGGATCCTCTTATTATAGATTTGTCACAACAGTTGACAATTCATACTTATTTTAATATCTTTTATTTGAAATTGATATGCATTTAGTCTCTCTTTGCTGAGATTTTACAATTCACTTCAAATATTTTTATCTATACTAATATTATAAAGAGGTAATGTTTGTAAGTTTGTATGTAGCGGGTAATCTCTGAAACTACTCATCCGATTTCAAAAATTCTTTCACCAATATTTAGAATGGAAATTCGGGGTGGACATAGGCTGTATATTATTCCGTTAAACATTCATATAAATTAAAAGATATCATCTAGGGTTAAGGCTTTTATGTCCAACAGATGGTGCTACGAGTACGACGCCCTAAGTTTGCTTTTCTGTGAGGATGAACTAAAGCAGATCTATCTATCTATATAAATAAAAATGTAATGTTTGTTTGTTCCTACCGATTCCTATGAAATTTTTACACACTGCTGCATTCGAATACGCACGTGTTTTTATATAATATACATGTTGAAATTCCCCCCCACTGGAGGGAGATGGACAGGATTAAGGCTTACGGTAAAGAACTCTGCTTCTATTTATACTATTTTAGATGCGGTTTTTTTGCGTTTTTGATTGCGTTTTAATAGGGTACGTCAAGAGAATGTACACTAAGAAGGGATTTTTTGAAAAATTTGGAAAAAAAAGGAGAAGTGTTATACATTTATAATAGATACATTTTGAGCCACAACAACACATGGCGGGGTCTGCTAGTTTTATAATAATTTGACATTTTCCAACATATTTTTCTATGGTGATGTTATTCTAAAACTTGTAAACTCTTATGTATTTGTACTTTTAAAAAATTCCAATCTTCATTTGTAACAAAATTCCATAAATATCTTTGATTTTTCATAAAATAACATAATTTTTTTTTCTATTAATGACAATCCATGATCATTAACAATTTGCATTCCAATTAAAATTCTTAATTGTTGTTGCTTTTACAGTAAAATTATTCTTTTCAGACTAGGTAGATAGTGGGAAACAATTTGTTATGGATTCAAGACTTTTTCAGAATTTTTAAAGATGGGGCAGAAAAAATAGTTTTTTTTCCTCATAGCTTGAAAGGTCATTCCATACATAAATGCATATTAATTGTTTTTTAAATCAAATTTTGTGAAAAATAAATCAGGTAATTTCTGTGTGTAAAGATATACACCAGAATAGAGTTATTGATGAATAGGGTTACCATATGTCTGTATTTAGTATGGACAGTCTACTTTAAAGATTCAGTCCATGTGCATGCAGTACTTAGAAAAAATAAACAAAATGTCCATACTTTTCAACTAATCACAAAGTTAATAGTTAAACTATAACCACTTAGATTTAAATCTGATAAAAGGTGCTAAATTTTTGATAATTATTATTATATTTATTGGCTAAGTGACAATGTTATATAAACAAATGTAACAGCTTTGTTGCTTAGAGCAGTGTTTCTTAACAGGGGGCCGCAGCCCCCTGGGGGTCCATAAGAAGTTTGCTGGGGGGCTGCCAAGTTTTGCAAAATTTCCTTCAGAATATAATAAAAACAAAATTGATGTATAACCGAATATCGTATTGAAAAGTGAAATAAGAAGATAAAGTTTACATATAGTTTTTATTTTTTTTAATACAGTATATTTCTTATTTTTCTGTACATACAACTTTGTTAGTACAGAAGAAATAAATGCAAATATGCTATTTATACCGCAGTATTTACTTCTTTTATTCCAAAGTAATTCTAAGAAACTATTAATGCTTGGAATTTTCGATACAAATTCGTGCAAAATATCCTCCCCTGTTTTCAGCAACAACGCAAAATTTGCTGCTTTTCGCTAGTACATATTTTCAAATATTTTTTGTTTTTTCTGAATTTTTAAATGTCTTATTTTATTTTTTGTTAAGAATTAATGAGTTTTTATGTTTAATTGTGGAGTTTGGATGTTATTTAAATAGATAATGAAATAATAAAGTTATGTTTTACATTTATTATATAAAAAAATAAAGCAATAATAAAAAATCTATTTATTATTCATAATTTAACAAATATAAATTATTATTTAAAAAAATGGGGGTCACAAAAAATTATGAAATGTTTGGTGGGCCGTGAGTATAAAAAGGTTAAGAACCACTGGCTTAGAGAACATGCATACATTCATTACAATAGTTTTTTTAATTCAATAGTACTTATTGTCTACATGGTAAAATAGTNGTATTGATTATTGACCATTTGTGACATGCCATAACAAGCAAAAATTTTTAAAAAACTAATAGGTAGGTTTAAAATTAATAAATACAAATGTATTCTGACAGTGAATGAGAGATAATTATGCTTTTTATTTGCAAAATTTCTTAACCTTAACACAAAATAAGAAAAAAAGTGAATTTTTAAGAAATATGTGGGATTTCCCGGGATAAGAAAAATTTTCCAGGATATTTCCTGGGTTAAAAAAACAACCGGGATCCCGGAATCCCGTTTGAGAAACACTAGTATACACTATAAACGTACCTTTGTTGTTTCCCTTTTGGGCAACAAAATTAAAAGATGGATGTACCGTCAGTACAGGATTTTGCTTACATCTATTTTGTATTAAAAATTTAGTTTTTATCTATGTGTCTTTACAATATCTATGCAAATATATTAACAAACAATATACCTGTATTCTTTCTTATGTGTTTATTCTTGGTTAAGAGATGATATGATATTAAATTTCAATTCAAATTCTGTCTTTTACTATAAAATATCTTGTTACAACAACATTTACAAAGTGAATATAACATACCTGTTATATAAAATTCATAATAAAATAAAACACAAAAATCTTTGTTAGCTTTACTTTATACTGTCATCTACCATTTTTGCTACAGTTTCATACCAATTAGCATATTTTTATGTCGTAAAAAGGCCAGTTCATGATCGAGCTTTTATTTATTTTATCAAAAAAATTTTTTTTTATCTAATTATAGCAATTATTATTGTATAGGAGATTATTTCTAACAAAAATGATTAATAAGAATGGAATTTTTCAAAAACATTTTTTATAATATGTATACGAATGTACGGTACTTCCTATTTTTACATTTTTCAAAATCCCTTTCACAATACTTTCAGCGAATTTTCACTTATTTTTATGCTCAAATTTTTATTTATACAGTTTTTACTTTTAATGATTTCTACACTTTTTTAAAATTTTCTCTTGTATGTTTCTGTTTTTCTGTGTAAAATTTTTATATTATTTTGGTCAATATTTCAGTCGTTTAATGTGCAGTGATCGTGGAAGGCAGAGTTCAGTCTGTGATATTTCAGATCTGCTACATGTTCTTTAAGTCTCACTTATAATTTTCACTTCTTTTCTATGTAGAACTTGGTATCACTACAGGTACACAGGATCTTGTATACTATATTTTTTGTTTCTTTTTGCGGTTCTTTTCTTTTCTTCGTTGGTTGTTTGGGTTTAATTCTAGACGATAGTTTTTCATATTTCGGTGTGAGTTTTATGTTGATCTTTATTGTTTCTTTGTCTATTTCCTCGTACAATCCTTTGATATAAGGCAAACTGATGTATTTCAGTTTTTAAGTCTTCTTTTTGTTCCGTTTTACGAATCTTTTGGCTGTTTATCATTCTTTCCCAGGCATTTATTATTCTGTTTGGGTATCCATTGGGAATTTTTGTTATATTTTTAGTTGGCTGAAGAGGGGCATGTTATGCCCGAAATGTGTATTTTAAACATGTATCAAGTGAACTAAACAAAGATGATAGAATGCCAAGTGTTTGAATTTATTACACTACATAGTGTTTAAAGAATCAAAGGGGAGTCACAACACTGTTTTAGATTATCACAAAATAGCAATTTTAAATTTAAGAACAGTAATTTATTACTTTCTTTGCTTATAACAAGCATTGATTATCATGTCCAGTGAGTGTCCAAAAAGTTGCCATCATCTTTCTTCTATATTAATTTGTCAACCTGTAATAATTTTAAAGATATCCATTAACAAAGCTAATCTGGATAACTTCTTTAAAATTGCATTGAATTTAGCCAATAATAATTTTCATGAAGATAAAAATTACTATACACATACTTATGATAAAAATGATAATCTACCAGAAATATTTTATTAATAGTAGTCTATTGTTACTATCTGTTAATAGGACTTACTATACTGATTTAACTTGTGGATGAAAGTTAAATTGGTTTAATAAGTCCTATTAATAGATAATAATTGCAATGAACTAACATTAATAAAATAATACTTAAAATATCAAAAGTATTGTTTTTAAAAAACTTTGTGGTGTACACTAAATTTTTCTTCAATAAAATATTGTACTTAATAGTTATTTTATTAAGTTTTACTTTATTAATACAGTCTTATTATTGATGGGAAAATTATAAGTTACTAACATAATTACAAATATTTTTCATATTTTTATTATAGGCCAGAAGGAAAAGATTACTCTGTACATCGACTTATTTTAGGAACACACACGTTAGTATAATTTATTACTGTTTTAAATGTTTGAATTAAATATTTTTTTCATTAAAAGCTGTCTTAATTAATATTTTTAATCTTTATTTATAAGTAAATTATTTTGCATGCAATCAATAAAATTTTTTAATAAATTCAAATTTTTATTATATTATATTCATAAGTAATTGTATAAACATAAATGATTTGCACAAAAATTTTAAAAAATATATTGCAAACATGAGAAGTTTAAGAATATTGTAATAAATATATTTAGAAAAGTTCTTTTAAACAAATTTTAAATTTGTGTAACAAGTTCAACTTGACTGCTGCAGAAATGAAAAAGAAGATGTTATAAACATTATTTTAATACATTTCATGTAAAATTTTTAAAAAGTGTTTAGAGAAAGAACAACAACTTTGTAATAAAAATCCAAAACTAACTAATTTGAGAGCTAAAACAGTTTTATTTATTTCAGAAGTATTTTTGAATTTAGTAGTTTGTTGTCAAATAATAACTAGTTTGATGCAGCTGACAAAGAAATGAGGTTAAAAATGTTTCTGATGTAAATAAAAGTTTGGCTTTGTTCCAAAATAAGTTAGTTTTGAATTTTAAAGAAAAATTTATCTGATGTCAAACAATTTATGTATTAGGCAGAAATAATAACCATTTAATATACTTGAAACTTTTTAGAAGTTGTAAATATTTGACTGATATGAAGTACAATTTGTCTTGTATATTCAGTTTTTAATTTAAAGACAGTTTTATTTAAAGAAAATTCTTAAATACTTCTTACTTATAAGTTTTTATCCTCTCTACAATTATTGACAAAGAATAATTGAATAAACAAATATATTTTGATAATGGGGAAAATTGGTTTAATACACCCATGCAATATCAGATTAACATTTTAAGTCACAATATGATCTAATTACCTGCTATTAATACTTGTCATTATTAATGTAGATTTTTTTAAAATATCTCTTTCAGAACTCTTCCTAATTGTAGTATTTAATAATATGTAATATTTGTGAATAGATAAAACAGATATTATAGAAAATCTACATATTATTTGTACTGTAAATTATTTCTCCAATCTTTTTTTTCTTTACTCTATTTATTCTAATGGTATTTTGTATTTTTATCAGAATTTGAATAATAATTAATATATATTTTCTAGTATGATTAAAATATTTGATGAAAGAATTTTATTCTTGTTTATAAAGTAATGGAAATTTAATTTAAATATGAATAAACAATTAATATGCAAGCCAATCCATTTTGAATACAGTCGACCCCCCTATAAGATCATTGATTTTTCCGTTTTATCTGAATTACATGTTGTACGAGTCACTTAGATTTTACAAATATGTGAGCCATTCACAGTCCGGCACACGTATTTGTAAAATCTAAGTGACTCGTACAACATGTAATTCAGATAAAACGGAAAAATCAATGATCTTATAGGGGGGTCGACTGTATTTTTATAAAAATCTATTACTAATGTTATGATTTTTACTTTCTGAATCTGCTAATTTACATCTTCATCATATACTATTAATAATCAAAAAATATTTTTTCTGTTTTTAATATTTTTCTTGTTAAGTTTTTATAACTAAAAAATTAAGACTTTATAAATGATATTGAATTATGATATTTTAAAATGTAGTGTCATTGGTTTTGTCATATATCTAAAGAGGACAATAACTGCTATAGAAAATATAAATTTATTAATTCTTGTTCTTAGATATTCTTAAAAATTTATTCATGAATGCCTTTTTTTCTTGTTGTCTTAGTCAGATATCTCTATTGTTATCTATTACTACTAAAACTTGTAAGCTGCTGAGTAGAGGAAACTATAATTCTAGTTGCACATTATTAAAATTAGAAAGTTAGAATTGAAAAAATATCCTTATTCTATAAGCAGTGTCTCCTAATTTAATATAATTAATGAAAGTAATAAAATTGTTGTTTGTTGTTTTCAATAGAAATATGTACATTATTCCAATAATTTCAATACTTTTTCTTAATTTGCTTATATTGCAAACAATAAATTGATATTTTTGTATATAATTAGTGAAGAGTAATTGATCATATATATTATTTTTCAGATGCTGATGATATATTTTTTAAGGCCAAACTTTTCAGTTTATATTGAAAAAAATTGATACCATTAAAGAACCTAAGTCTTCAGGAAGATGTTTTAATTAGCCCTTATAGATTTTGCTTTAAATTACAAATTTTTCATTTACATTATTCTATATACATACACAATACTATNGATGTAAGAGATCATTTTTTAATAATGTTTGAAATTTTTTTTGCTTACAGTAGACCCCTGGTTTTATGACCAAATTGACCTGGTTTCCTGGAAAAAAAATCATTGCTAAGCAAGCCATTGTAAATCAAAGTCTAATTTTTCATAAGCTTGCTGTCATAAATTTGAGGCTCTTTCTGGAAATATAAACTTTAAACTATACGGCAACATACTCAAAATGGTCAACAAAAAATTTATTTAGATATTACATTTCAAACAATTGTAACAAAATTTAAACCAGTTGTAAAATCAGGGGACTATATAATGTATAACTTTGTTTGCATTATAAAGAATTTTGAAGTTAAATTTTTTTTTAAGTATTAAATTATGTTGTGTCTTAAAATTATTAGAAATTGGATTAAGTTTAAAAGATTTTAGAAAATTTTGAAAAATGTTTACTTCAAATAAATATATTAAAATTTCCATAATCTAACTTTCTTCAAACTGTCTGCTTCTGCTATCTTTATTTAAAAGGAATATTCTTTGAAAGTGTTTAATTTTTAAAAATTGCTATCTTAATTTTTTAAAAAAAGATTGTTTTCATTTCTTGAAGAAAGCCTATTAACATTATGGCTTTTGTTTTTTAAAATGCAAGAGGAGTTGTAACAATGACATTTAATTAATCTTGAATAATATCACATACAGCATTATTATTTAAAATAAATTATATTTGTATTCACTGAAAAATTATTTGTAAAATGTGTCATGAAAAATTGATTTGATTACACTCAGAAGTATTACAATTACAAATAAATATTTTATGCAAAATGCAACTTAAATAATATGCATTGAATCACAAATTGTTGTAAATATAGCATGGTCTAAAAAGTCACTTAACTAAGACATGTCTTAAAAACAGCTAAAATTAATTTGAAACAGTTGCCTGATTCACCTGCTTCCAATGAAGCAATGGAACTACAAATAATACTTGAACTTAAAATAATAAAGTTAAAATTACAAAACAAAAATAATGCTGAAATACACCATATCTAAAATAAAACAGAACATGCAATCTACTATACATAAATTATCATGATTATATCAATAAAACAAAAATAATAATCTTTATTATTTTTCCATTGATATGAATTTAAATTCACAAAATTACAAAAAAAAATTTTTATGTTCGAATTTATATACTTCTGTGAAGTGAAAATTAATCTTAACCAAATAAAATAGCTGCAACTCAGGCTTCAGAATATTTATTGCATTAGATCAGTAAACTTCTGTCTTTGTATAAATCTTGACAATAAGATATTGTTCTGAAAACATTAGGCAGAAAAAATTTTTCTGAAAGTTTAAGAAATATTTTTGTATTTTATATCAAAATAGAAAATTCAGCTTGTGGTTCATTTTAGCTTTGTCACATAACCTCTTCCATGTTCACGATAAACTTTTTCATTCATATTCTTTTTATTCATTGCTACATCATCATAAGCAAATCAGGATCTTCAAAGATGCATTTCTTATTATTTGAGATCCAGATTATAGATAATTTTTGTTGTCAAGTATATAGTTTCATGTCTTATTAGTCTACATAGTTTCTTTAACCATCTGTCTCAATTTTCTATAGATTATCTTAATATGTTGATTTACAGTTGCCATTATTAGAAGAAAATGGAATGGAATATTAATCTTTCTAATATTTTGAAGATTTGCTATTCCTCAAACACTTGAAAATTGTTCTGTTGTTTCTCCTAAATCCAGAATTTCCAGAATTGTCTTATTTATTCAAATATAAAGCCAACCTCAAAATATTTGTTTCCTAGATATCTCATCATACAAATCTAATATTAAATTACAGAAGATTTTTATGTAGTTGTCTTTGCTTGCATATTTGTATAATGCATTATTTAATTTTAGCCAGTTTAACAAAAACTAAAATACTTTATTAAAATTTAAATCTTTAATAATCTAAATATTGTAGATATAGGGGTTAGACAAGTAAATAGTCTCTGTGCAAACTCTTCTGTAGTCTCAAAATCAAATCTCAGCTCTCATCATTCAACATGTTAAAATGCTTCCTGTCAAAATATTTTTTTATTATAAAGAAATGTATTATCTCTGTATGTATCATAATATTTTCATTTTTTTTTCTTTTTTAGATACAGTAGGACCTACTAATTGTAATCACTTTGGGATGTACTTATAACAATAACTGATGATTTAATTACTCACTTTGCTTACTGTTCAGACTACAGATAGTAGAAATTCTGATTTTATTGACACTGACATTAAAAGGACATCTCTGTTTACATGAATTAAATTTGATACAGGACCAGACTAACATATAAATTTAGGGATAAATGTGAATAAATTTACTTGTAAAAAAAAATGCTTAGTATCAGACAGAACAATGTTTTGTGGTGTCTTGAGTAATATATTCCTACTGCTGCTATTCTTAAATTGTTTCCCTCTTTTTCTAGTGCTTAAAAGCAAAAGAATTTTATACAGTTCTAATCATATTTACTGCATAGAAATATTTATGTATGATTTTCCTTCATTTATGTATTTCAAATAAGCTGTTTAATTCTAGAAAATATTAAGGAGTATTTTATACATTGAAATAGGTTTGTGAATGCATTTAGAAGTATATAATAACTATTTTTCAGCAGACAAATTTTACTTTTATTGTACAATTTAAGTACTCCCTCTTCAATTTTTGACCTATTCTTAAAAAATTAAATTGTTTGTATAGAATTCCTTCAAAGTATTTGTGAGACAACTATGTATCCCAATTAAGAAAATCTGACTTTAGATATTTCTTAGACTTAAGTAAAAATTATATTCTATGCACTATGCAAACCACTTAAGTAATTAATATATTATTTGTCTAATAATTCATTGATATAGATTTTATGCATTATTATGTGTGATGATAAATTCTTTCTAAATATAAGAATTGAATATATTTTGATTGTTGTTAATATCTTTTAAGATTAATAATTTTGAAATTTGGTTTCTTTGATAAGCCATTAATTTGAATTGTCTTTTAAAATTTTTAAAGTTAGTTTTACAAAAAGATTGGCAATTTTAATATCTTTTTTATTGAAAGCTTAAAGCACTTCAAAATTTTTCTAATAAAATTAAAATTATAACTTTTTTAAAAATTAGTTTTCACTTTTAACACTCTGTTATTCGTTGTCAGTGGTTAATCTGTAGCCATACATCATTAGGTCAGACGAACAGAATCATCTGCTGATTGCCAGTGTACAGTTACCGAGCGATGACACACAGTTTGATGCATCCCATTATGACAGTGAAAAAGGAGGTAATTATATTAAAAGATTTTAAAGTATATAAAATGACTCCATAATTTAAAATATAATAAAAAAAATATATTTGCTTTAATGGAGTATAATAACTTAGGAAACACAAACACAAATTTGAGAACTTAAGGATTCTTATCTGTCTTCTGGTAATGCTTAGAATATGGAATATTAGTATTATGATAATATGTTACAAACAATTGTGTTATTAAGGAAGATGAAAAAAATATTTATTACTAGAAATTTGAAATACAAAATTTCATTAAAGATGCACAAATAAAACCAAATTAATATTCCACATTATGAAAATTTTCTGAAGACAGACACAATAATCTGAAAGTGCTCAAAGTTGTTTTTTCTAAGTTTTTACAGTCAATTAAAGTAAATGTTTCTATTGAAAAATTTTATCTAATTCTATTGAATAAGCAGTTTTAATAAAATAAAAGCTGTTTTCTTTATGTTTAGAATTTGGTGGTTTTGGCTCAGTTAGCGGTAAAATTGAGATAGAGATCAAGATTAATCATGAAGGAGAGGTCAACAGAGCTCGGTATANAAATTTGTGTAACAAGTTCAACTTGACTGCTGCAGAAATGAAAAAGAAGATGTTATAAACATTATTTTAATACATTTCATGTAAAATTTTTAAAAAGTGTTTAGAGAAAGAACAACAACTTTGTAATAAAAATCCAAAACTAACTAATTTGAGAGCTAAAACAGTTTTATTTATTTCAGAAGTATTTTTGAATTTAGTAGTTTGTTGTCAAATAATAACTAGTTTGATGCAGCTGACAAAGAAATGAGGTTAAAAATGTTTCTGATGTAAATAAAAGTTTGGCTTTGTTCCAAAATAAGTTAGTTTTGAATTTTAAAGAAAAATTTATCTGATGTCAAACAATTTATGTATTAGGCAGAAATAATAACCATTTAATATACTTGAAACTTTTTAGAAGTTGTAAATATTTGACTGATATGAAGTACAATTTGTCTTGTATATTCAGTTTTTAATTTAAAGACAGTTTTATTTAAAGAAAATTCTTAAATACTTCTTACTTATAAGTTTTTATCCTCTCTACAATTATTGACAAAGAATAATTGAATAAACAAATATATTTTGATAATGGGGAAAATTGGTTTAATACACCCATGCAATATCAGATTAACATTTTAAGTCACAATATGATCTAATTACCTGCTATTAATACTTGTCATTATTAATGTAGATTTTTTTAAAATATCTCTTTCAGAACTCTTCCTAATTGTAGTATTTAATAATATGTAATATTTGTGAATAGATAAAACAGATATTATAGAAAATCTACATATTATTTGTACTGTAAATTATTTCTCCAATCTTTTTTTTCTTTACTCTATTTATTCTAATGGTATTTTGTATTTTTATCAGAATTTGAATAATAATTAATATATATTTTCTAGTATGATTAAAATATTTGATGAAAGAATTTTATTCTTGTTTATAAAGTAATGGAAATTTAATTTAAATATGAATAAACAATTAATATGCAAGCCAATCCATTTTGAATACAGTCGACCCCCCTATAAGATCATTGATTTTTCCGTTTTATCTGAATTACATGTTGTACGAGTCACTTAGATTTTACAAATATGTGAGCCATTCACAGTCCGGCACACGTATTTGTAAAATCTAAGTGACTCGTACAACATGTAATTCAGATAAAACGGAAAAATCAATGATCTTATAGGGGGGTCGACTGTATAAA